TTTTGAGCACGTTGAAGAACTTGTGGCATCTGTCGGAGGATCACGAGATGAACCTTGACAGGGCAGTTATGCGACCCGTCAATTTTCACACCTGTTTCTTGCTGGTTAACACTTCGGATATTCCTTCAATGCCCTTGATTTGGTCGGGATTGACCTCGATGCCTCTTTGTGGTACCAAGAACCTGAGAAACTTGCTTGAAGTTATGCCGAAGGCACATTTTTCGGGGTTCAGTTTTATACCGTACTGCTTCAGTATTTCGAAGGCTTCTTTTAGGTGGTCGATGTGATCCTCCTTCCTTTTTGATTTGACCAACATATCGTCTATGTAAACTTCCATAGTTTTGCCGAGCTGGCTCTTCAACATTTGGTCACCAATCTTTGATAAGTCGCCTCTGCGTTCTTCAAGCCAAATGGCATGACTCGATAACAGTATGTTCCTTGGTGGGTGATGAAAGTGGTCTTCTCTTGGTCCTCTTCCTCCGTGAGGATTTGGTTGTAGCCTGAGTAGGCGTCCAAGAAACTCAACAACTCGTGTCATGCCGTTGCGTCAATGAGCTGATCGATATTAGGCAGAGGAAAGGAGTCCTTTGGGCAGGCCTTGTTTAGGTCCGTGAAATCCACGCACATTCGCCATTTCCCGTTTTTCTTTTTGACCATGACTACATTGGCGACCCATTGAGGATACTTTGATTCTCGGATGGAGCCGTTAGTGAGTAGTTTATCCACTTTCTCGCTGACGGCCTCGTTGATTGCGGCGTTGAATTTTCTTCTCGCTTGTCGTACTGGGGGCAGAATGGATCGACGTTCAATTTGTGTGTGGCAACGTCTTTCGGAATCCCTGGCATATCTACATGGGAAAAAGCAAACAGATCGGCATTATCGGCTAAAAATTCATGAAATTTACCTGGCTCGGAGAGCATATGGCCTATATAGGCCTTTTTTGTTGCTGTCGCTACTATCCAGTTGGACGGGGTCGAGATCTTCTATTGTCAATCCTGCGGCCTCCACGATGTCGGGGTCCTTAATAACGTCTTTGCGATCGTTGGGTTTGGCCCTGACTTCGTTAATTGCTATGCTTCTGAGCTTATTCCTTTTAGTTGTTGAGTGAATGTGCAATCTTGGGCGACGCGATAGCATTCCTGGGTTGTGCATTGTTCGCCTCGGATGCTGGATATTCCCCACGGGGTAGGGAATTTGATTACTTGGTACAGACTAGACGGAATAGCCCTCATGGCGTGTATCCACGGTCGCCCTATGATTGCGTTGTAAGTTGTGTCCTGGTTCATGACATGGAACGTCGTTTCTAAGGTGATGCCTCCGGCCAGGACGGGTAGTGTTATTTTTACTGAGGTCCGTTCGACTGCATTGTTAAAACCAGTTAGTGTTATGCAACGTGGTACTATCTTGTCCTCGAGTCGCATTTGTGCGAGTACTCGAGGATGGATAATACACGGGCCGCTTCCGTCGTCTACCATTATTCTTTTAACATCAGTATCTCAAAAACGTAAGGTAATGACAAGGGCATCGGAGTGAGAAAAAATCAAACCGTTGGTATCCGACTTATTGAAGATGATACTTTCTTCGAGGTCATCATACCGATCGTGAGTGTTTGGCCGCTTCAGCTTGTGTGTGGTGGCAAATTTTATGTGGTTGACTGTTGCTTCGTTGCCTCCACAGATGATCATTTGAATGGTGCGGGCAGGAGAGGGCGTCTTTGGAGGCCCCTGGTGTTGTTCCCATCCGCGGCCAAAGTTGGCTCGTCCTCGGTCACTCATTAACTCCTTTAGGTGTCCTTGGTTCATCATGTTAACCACTTATTGCCGCAGGGCTATGCAGTCCTCGATTTTGTGACCCCGCTCCTGGTGGAATTCACAAAGGACTTTCGACTTTCGGGTACTGGGGCCGGACTTTATTTTTTGTGTCCACTTCACCTTCGTGCCAAGCTTCTCTAGTGCGTACACTACTTCTGAAGGAGAAACAAAAAAATTGTGAGCGGATAAGAGTGGGGGCATACCTCTTTTTATGATCTAGAAGAAACTAAAATTTTAACTAAAAAACTCCCCACGTATGGCGCCAAATTGTTTGACCAAAAAGTATTTAGCCTTTTGATTAATCCAATTTATGATGAGAAGAGGGGTGAATTTTAGTTAAGGATAATAAAACCTAGATCAAATATTAGATGATGCAGACAAGATGAATGACATTAGCTAATATGCTTGAGCTGATTAAATGCTCATAAATGTAGCAATATAAATATACAATGAATGTGAATAAATGCTACTAGCATAAAAAAAGGAAGTTACTACCCAATAATTGTAAGATTCAGAAAGCTCCTTCCCCTGACAACAACATGGAAAGAAGGGAAATAAGAGGAGTTTGAGGAATCTTTGGATCTTGTGAATATAAAACCCAAAATATATGCTCGAATAATGTAATCAATGAATGAGACAACTTTAGTATATTCTCTCAGGTCAACCTTTTACAAAGTGTTCTTTCTCATGAAAAGTGAAGAAACTTTTTGTTCTCTATCTCTTCCTATTTATAAGAGACATTTCCCAAAAATTCAAAAAAGTACAAAGCAAGGAATATCCAAATGAATATTCCTTGTGTCCATATTTGAACCTATGCTACCGTTGTTTCCTCATCTCGGCTGCCCGTCTTTGGCATCAATCGTCTTGAGAGCAACCTTGAGTTGTTATATCATGGTCGACCCCGTCCTTTGTCTTGGTTATCTGTTACAGCCAAGTCGCCAAATTTAGACCTATACAACACCCATGTTCTAGAATCGTACCTCCGCCTCTGCATTCATGCCTCATTATCATTTTCTTTTCTTACAATCTAAAGGAATAAGATGATTTGGGTCTAGGGGACCATATGAATCATATGACCTCAAGTCAACATCCATATTTCTACCTTTTCTCTGTTTTTGTTCATTGGCTCTCAAGTAACACAATGGTCATTTCCTTGAGAGGGATAGACATTGCAGATAGCTGTGTTGAGACTGCATTTATTTTAAATTTTGGTTATCCTCTCAACCTTAGAGCCTTAGAGCCAATATTAATGGTGGTTTCACAGTCAACTACTGAAATGCATACTCAAATATCAGTCAATAACTATCATTTGAGATTTGAAGAGAGACAAAAGAAGAGAGAAGTTTGTTATTGAATTGGTTATTAATAATGTACAAGAGGAGGTTCATAGAAGAGAGTTGGCCTACGAACAACACGTTTATGTAATTATTTTCTGTACCTAACAAGGTTTATAATTATCACACAACCAAGTACTATGATATATAAAATATCCTATGAAATATTCTCATATTCAAGTTCATTGAACATATTATGATATTAGAAACGTGCATATATTTTGTCGTTAATGGCATGTTTTTTACGTTATATGCACCATGTAAATTTTGTGGTAATAGGTTGTATCTTTTCTAAGTTATCAATATATGAAAACCAAGTCCAAAAAAGAATAAAAGAAAAGTAGACAAAATTGAATTGTAGTAGCTTCAGACAAGTAACCTCAGATGGCTGATTTTCATTCCTTTTTCCCCCACGATTTCAATTCCTCAATAATGAAAAATGACGGGAATAGGAAACAGTTGAGCCTGTTGTCACGCGGGTGATTTCTGTCCGTCAAAATCTGCCCGAGGTTCACCTTCGTGCGACAGCCTTCCAACACTTAAAATATTTTTATGGACATTTGGAACTAAAAATATATTTAGGTAGCAAAGTAAGTAAAATGCACACACCTTTTTTTTCCTATACGAAACCAAATGATATATTCATTCCAATACATTTAGCTTTAAAAAAAAAAGTAAAATGCACACACGAATTTATAGGAATTTTTTCCGAACTTATATTAATATGTGAATACAAGAACACAAGAAAGGCGACCTTATGGCCTAGAACAAAGAACACCCTAGTTTTCACCCCAAAATGATTTCCAACCCTTAGGAATACACTTACACGTTTTTGGCTAACAATTTTGCCACAAGACTAAGTTCTATCTTTGGGATTCGCCTTTTGCATGTCTTTACAGTGCAGCCTGCCCCAATTACACTTGGCAGCATCTAAACAATGCGGTTGACAAGCCCCAACTGATGGGTAAATCTAAACCAATCAAAAAAACATGCTACAAAACGTGCCAATCATGACTACAAAGCAGTTTTTCAGCAAAATAACCGCCCAACCGCCCCGCCCCATGTGCACTGCACACTTGCGCCTGTTTTGCTCATGAGTTGCGCCCAAGACTTGCATTCCAAGTCTTGGGCCTTTCTTGACATCCATCCGTCGTGCCAAGTTGCCCAGAAGCCTTACCAGTCACTTGTATGCCTTTGTGCACATGCCACTGCCTTGTATTTGTCGTGCCATGCCATGGTCTTGTCTTACGCTTGTCTACATCTTGCCTTGCCTTGCCTTGCCATTGCTTTGTCATGCCTTGGCCCCAGCTTTGCCTTGCCATTGTCATGCTAACTCTCACGTCCATGTGAAATGCGCCTAGCCTTCGTCAAGTTGCGTTTGTTGACCCTGCATAGTCTGTCATGCCGAGCTGCTCGTTCACGATGTTGCCTAATATTTTAGGTTGTGCCAAAGCCATCATGAAAATCCTTGTCACAACTTACATCTGTCGGGGGACCTTGTCAAGGGACTAACACCAAGCGGACCTGGATATCAAAATTAAGTAATTTAATTATAAAAGGTAAAATTAAAGTATAATCAAGTGAAAGATAATTAATTTGGTGTAAACATGTGCGTAGATAAACCTTTACCTCTTGAGTCGCAAGTGCTCGTAAAAATTGGGTAGCAAAAATGATTTGAAAAGCCAAAATAGATGAAAAACATGGAATATTTTAGGCCTCACCAAGTTTATCCTCAACATCGTAATCCACGGTATGGAATGACGTAGAAAGAGAAGAATCAAACAATAGAATAAAGTTAAAATAGTCCTTAAAGTGAGGAGGAACACGACACTGAAGTTGGACTATGTGCCACCACATGACTGCTTTTCAAATGTCTCCTTTACGTTTGGAAAGTTGCATTCAAAAACAGATTGGGATGACCAATTTTTTCTATTTTTTGGAAAAAGCTTAAAAAAAAAAAAAAAAGAGCAGGGGAGCTTCTTTCCTTTGTGGGTTTTTACCCCTAAAGTAAGGCTAGCTCATAAAGTTAAATGCCCTAACCCAGCTGAGATTTGAGAGTGTAGGTAGTAGTAGCAAACACCATGTTAGAAGGCAAAGCTCTGATTGAAGATACAGATATGCCAGTGAAGATGCAGATCCAAGCCATGGCCTGTGCTTCTCAAGCTCTTGATGTTTATGATGTTTTAGACTGTAAATCCATTGCTGCTCACATTAAAAAGGTAAACCACAATCACTTTCTTTTACAAAGAGTATAAGTTATATACATCCTTAGTCACCTTTACAGATAGCCTGTCTTATTTTCAAAATTACAAGTGTTATTTTATATTTTCAATAGTACAAATCTCACGTTCCACAGAGTCTTATTGTAACTGGTAAAGTTGTCGCTATGTGACCTGGTCACCTGATTCGAGCCAGGAAACAACCTCTTACAGAAATGCAGGGCAAGACTTTGTATAATAGACCTTTATGGTCCAACCCTTTCCTGGACCTCCCGCATAGCTGAAGCTTAGTGTACCGAGCTTTTTTTACAAATCTCACATTTGGATGACTTGGTAGTGTAAAAACCTGTGCTTTTGACACCCATTTACCCCTTCTTGATTCCAGCACATGTGGGGTTGAAATTTACAATCTTTTTCATGAAAAAAAGTACAATTTTTCCTGAGGTTTTTGTGCTTTATATGCAGGAATTTGACAAGAAATATGGAGGTGGATGGCAATGTGTGGTGGGATCAAACTTTGGGTGTTTCTTTACTCATACTAAAGGAACATTTATCTATTTCACCTTGGAGACTCTTAATTTTCTCATCTTCAAAGGAGCATCTTCTCCTCCATCTTCTCCTCGATAGGGGTTATTTGGCTACTCAAGGAAGGAAGAAAATGAGGAGATGTAGTTACTTTTAGTTAGGTCATTCTCTTGTTCATAACCCCCCTTTCCCTCTTTGACTTCAATATGTTTTCTTTTTTACTACTTCTGAATGCAAGATGTGGAGATCTAGGTAATTGAGAAAACCAAGAAGTTTACATGAATGAGAAGACTGCCCTGCTTAAACTGGATTTTCTTCCTTCTCTTTTTCTGGCCACCCTGAGCTGAAGGTCTACTGGAAATAATTTCTTTACATTCTCTAGGTAGAGGTGAGGACTATGTACATACTATCTTTCCCAGATCACTAAAAGCCGTGTATGCTCCAAGAAACTGTAGTTTTTAGTTAGTCATGTATCCATGAGTAGATTAATGGAATGATTGGTGTTGTTCTGCTCAATACTACCTCTGTCTACCAAGAATGTCTCATTTACATGAAGTGGACTGGTCTGAAATATGAGGGATTGTGATGAGATTGTGGGGGGGCAATTGAATTGTTTGATGCTCATTCAGATTGGTAAAATGTAATTGTGATATAGTGACACCTCAGTTTCAAAGACAACAATGTACATTCAGAAAAATGACCAAAGCTAGCAGGCCATGAATTTAGATAAAATTGCTAAATATATCCCATAGTCAATCATAAGGTTTTTCTACAGATGCAAGCATTGTAGTTTTTCATCACCAAATAGAAATGAATACAATTTCAGAATCTTGGAAATGCTCAATGTATTCAAGGATATTAAAGTCATGCTAAGCACTGATGAATGCACATGTTCAGAGCACAGGAGTCAACAATGGTTTGTGAAGAAAATGAGCTTCCAAGTTTGCAACAACAAGGTCGGCCATGGCTGTGCAAGTTTCTACTGTATCACTTGCAGCATGGGACAATAGAACAACATTCTCAAGTCCGAATAATCGTTCAGGAACATCTGGTTCCGTCTGATAAACATCAAGACCAGCCCCACCAATACGACCTTCAATCAGTGCAGCTACAAGTTCAGATTCATCTACATGTGCACCTCGTCCTATGTTGATTAAGATGCCCTTTGGACCTAATGCATTAAGCACTTTTCGATTGACAATGTGCCGTGTTTCTTCAGTCAAAGCGCATGCAACAATAAGGATTTCAGAATTTTCAGCCAAATCGACGACATTAGAGTAGTATTTGTAGTTTATGTTTGGTTTCTTTGATCTGGAATGGTAGCTAATGGGGCATCCAAAAGCTTCAGCTCTCTTTGCTATTGCTGAACCAATTCTGCCCAATCCAATTATGCCAACCAATTTACCACTGAACTGAAAAAAAGAGCAGTGATCATTCGTTTAAATTTAAAACAAAAAATCAAACAAAAAGAAGAATTTAGCATTTAAATGTTCTCATGAAAAAGAAGGAAAAAAAAGAAAGAAAGAAAGATACAGGTCTGATGGAAGTGCATTATGTTGTACCGTTTGACATACTTTGAGGCCTTGAGATGATATATCCATACTATTTCAAGACTCAGCAGACATCATAAAAGCTGCAAAGAAACTCCTATAAGTACTAGCACTCCTGTTATCTATGTTGCTCCCACATGGCAGTTTAGGTGCCGCACCCGTATCGACACGACACTAGTATGGGTGTGGGTATGGGATCCCTACCTGTTCTGGTCAAATGATTTTGAGTACTTTGACCACGACGGACAGAAAAATTCGAAACAAGATACAATTTGATTCCCCAAATTAGAACCAAAACTAGGATAAATTGGAAGAAAATAGCATACCTTATCGAGAAAATCACTCCTTTACTTATCTACAACTTGAGAATGGAAAACAAATCCATACTTTACAAGCTATACATAAATATCCTAAAAAATTTCTCATAATTTAGAGATACTTTTAATTTTTTGAATTATTTTTAGCCGGATTCCTGCACCCGTATCCATATTAGGATTCGTATCCCCAAATCTTAGAATTTACACTTCGAAGGATCCGATCTCTAGGTCCGCACAGCAACTTAGCCTGTTATAATTCATTTTGTGATTCTTCTAGACTCAGCCAAATGAATAATCAGCAAGGTGGTCTTCTATGTCTTGATCAAAGCGATATATGAAAAGTACCTATAATATTCGTTCATGATTCATGGTGCTAATTCATGAAGCTGAGGCTTCTCATTCCATGAAATTTGAAATGGGAGACATAAGACTTTACAATCCAGAGTAGAATTTCCAATTTCCAAAATCTAGACATAATAGTGATAACATAAACAAAACTAATGAAAGTCCAGAATTGGCATTCTTCATTTAGACTCAACCATAAAATCAACTATCAACAAAGAATTACCAGAAAGCACGGTCCCAAATAAGGGAAAGCACATTACTAATGTATATGGTGTCTGTCCAAAAAGAATTGCCAAAGTTCAAACTTCCACGAGCCAAGTAAGTTACTTGACCAACAATTTGCCGAGCAGTTTTTTATATATCTGTACATGGCAAAAAGATTAATCTTTAACTTAGTTGATTGTGAAGTAACTTAACATTTTACACAGCAGCCCATTTACCCGGCTAAATTGTGATGTCTGAGTCCAAATACTGCCATATTTAAGCTATGTTGAACATATATTGGGGGGGTCTTTCCCCATGTTGAGTTCTATAGACTTTTGTTTACTGAGTCCAGTTAGGATTGGATATTGAATCTTTATGGATCATTTTCTGAATCTGTTATGAAGTTTACCAAGGTGTTTTAGTATTATCTCAGTTATAACAAAAAAAAGGGGAAGCTGATTCATCATGGGCTTTATCTTTGTGACAGAGAGTGTAACCGTGTTCAGTAATAATAATTCATAACCATGTTCAATTCTAGATGAAGGATAAGATTATAACTGTTCAAACATAGTGAATATATTTCAATGAGAGATATGCAGCACTCACAACCGTCTATTCCAGCAAGTTCATTTTCCTTATTTGCCCGAATTCTTGTCACTCTCTACCAGTGTTATTAAAAGCCATTATTTCTTCACTTAAAGTGATGAAGCGATGCGAAGCAAGGTGTTATGAAGCCACGCGCTTTAAAGAAATTTGAGTTTCAAATGATGGCGCAACGTGACCCCAACTTCAACTGTTCGTCCAATGAAACTCAACTTTGAGGAATTGGATTAATATCTGGATCTTTGTACATTAGATATTGAATTAGTTATTTTAATTGCAATTTAATTCTTCTCGTTTTTCTCACATGAACCTTGTCGTTTGTGTCTTGTAAAGCCACTGCTCTCCCTTCTAGATAAATTAAGAGCATGTTGGCACATACAACCTTTTTCTTTTTTTTCAAATTTTTTTTTTTTTTGAAAATAATGTTTGGTTATCCCATTCTTACTAATTTTTCCTTTTTCACTTGAAAATCCATTTTCAAGTTTGAAAAAATGGTTCTCACGAGTTTTTCAATTGAAAATGATAATTTGTTAGTTTTTAATTTTATAAATTTACCTTATATTTTTAAAATTTATTAAATGACCCCATCAGTTTTTCATCTTTGGCAGATACATCTTTGGCGACTGATGGTGAAACATCAATCCTAGTTGATACTTGAACTCTGCCTACTGAAAGTTTGATTATATGGTTATGACTTATGAGAAATATGTGGTTATGACTGCTTTTGCACATTTTCTGTGTGTTAGTAGAATTAGAAAATGTGATATTGATTTTGCATCTTCTGTGTATTGCAGTAAAGCAGAATATGATAACAGTTAAACAATAGCATTTTGATTGTTTATTTCAAGTAGGATAATCAAATTGGGGTGGTTTTAATAGTTTTTACAAGTTGTGGGGTATAAATCATGTTTCATGGTATGTTGCAAAAATTATAACCAAACACAACTTCATCTTCAATTTAAATTTTAGTGAAATTCAAAATTTGAAAAAAAAAATGGTATTCATGTCCAAACGCCTACTAAATTTGCCCTTTTCCCTCGTTCTAGAGGATTTCACTTAACTTATTGTGTCATTTCATTTCTTTGATTTCTTTAGAGGATGTCACGGGTTCGAGCCGGGAAACAACCTCTTGAAGAAAGGCAGGGCAAGGTGCATACAATAGACCCTTGTGGTTCGGCTCTTCCCGAATCCCGCATAGAGCAGAAGCATAGTGCACCGGTCCAGGCCTCAACCCGAACTAGTTAAGGTCAATTATATAAATTTTCAATATTTGTTTTGCTACATTCAAGCCCGAAGGAATAATATTTTATTAGAAATCTCTAAAAGATCTCTACAAGTCTTTATTTCCTGCACACATAAAATAAGCTAGTAAACCCCTATTAATAATAGTATGAAACATATGTCAACTAGAAACATGAAAGCATATTCCTATATTAATTCTCACTACAAATCCTATTTAGACATGAATTAAATAAATTAAATCCTAAACAACTAAGGTTTCTACTACAAATTTGAATTAGTTTTCCAACAAAGCCTCCTTTAACATTTAGACAAATTCATCATAAGTAAACTACTAACCTTTTTTGTCATACAAATCATATATGTCAAATTTATTCGGGGATAAGATAAATTTAAAAAGTTAAACTCTGAGAAAAAGAAGGAACCTTAGTTGTCAGCTCAAAATCGCGATTTTTCCATAACCCGCGTCTCACAAAGCCATCAGCAACACAAATTTTCCTCAAAGTCGTTAATGCCAGTCCAATAGCTGTATCGGCCACGTCATCCGTGAGCACATCGGGAGTATTAGTTACTCTAATCCCTCTTTCTTTACATTTCCCCAAATCAATCTTATCTAAACCTACACTGTAAGTTGATACAATTTCCAAGTTTGGCAATGCGTCTATGAGCTCCGAATCAGCACCGAAAAATGCGTTTCCTACGACTGCTCGGACTGAGTCGCCGTTCTGAGTCAAGAACTCGGCTTTGTTAGGAGTTAACCAGAATCTGAAGAGGTTGAAACGTTTGTTGAGTTGTTCTTCTAAGTAGGAAAACATTGGACATGTCATCAATACTCCCATTTTCTCCATTTTTTTCACACTAGTTCCTGGAACTGGGGAGCACCAGTTGTTAGCAACTTGGGATTATTAGGAATAAGGAAAGAAGTTGGTTGGGCTTGTAGAATGGGCCTTTTACAGAGGTGGGGTGAAACTCAAAAATAGCCATATTTACAAGCAAATAGCCACAATTTCAAAAATAATCGAAATTTAAGCACTTTTCATGTAAAGATAAATCTCAACAAAAACACTATTTAAAATCCCGAAAAATATTCCAGCATAATATGCTGGAGTTTGAATTTTTTACATGTGAACTTCTAGCATAACATGCTGGAATATCATAATGTACTGGAGTTACAACATATATGCTGGAAGTTCATATAAAAGTTTTCAAATCTATAGTATATTATGTTAGAACTTTCCGTGTTGCAGTAAAATAATGGCTATTTTTCAATAATTTTATAAATGCTGGCTATTTTTTAATTATCAATCCAAAAATTAGCTAGCCCGTGCCATTTTAAAAGTAAAAAGGGGCCATTTTTGTGCACAGGCTCACGCATATTGGCCCCAATCCAACACTATATACATAATTGAGAAATTTTCATAAAAGAATGAGAGAGAAAAATAATACAAAGAGTATTTTATGACTTAAGAGTAGGAGCTAATCATAAATAGATATTTGGCTATAAAAATCAAAAGGTATCTATAGAATATAATTTTTTAAAAGGGTATTTATGTAAAATAAATAAGATATCAACGAGGTAAAAATTCCTACATAATTACCGTACATAGTATTTCAATTTTGGACTTTATACACAAACATTTCCTACTGCTGCTTCAGTTCCTCCAATGGCGAACTCTTTGTAATATCATTCTGCGGCGAAATTCAACTCTAAGCGTGTAACTTTAAGCTCACTTCGTTCTTTCTTTTGTTCTATCAGTATTTCTCTTTCTAATGAGTCACAAAGATGTAATTATTTTTTTTGGGTAACTCTTAAAGAAAAAATTGTTGTTGTTGGAAGAAAAAGGAGTTTATAATCATTTTACCAAATCTTTCTATATCGAATAAAGAATTGGGTTTTTCTAATTATTTAAAGTGCCTCATGTATCCAGTGTATGTTTGAAAACTTGATATCTTTAGCAACTAGGAGCAATAAATTTCCAGTTTCAAGATTATTAGTATTTCTCCATAGGGATTTGTTTGGCACTTTTGGCCTTTTGAGATCAAAGCTAAGTGAACTTTGTCCACTATTTTGAAACATATATTTTGATACGAGGAGAATCGCAACTAATATTTGAGTTTGAATCTTTGGAAAAAAAATTAATCTTGTCAGGATTTAGCTCAGAGAATTAGTCAATTTTACTCTTGATAAGCAAAAGTTGCCGAACAAATTGGGACTGAGAGAGTAAATATTAGTGAGTGCAATGTAACAAATTGTATCATGTGTAGAATATGAACAAGCAGATGGTTGAAATTTATGAGAAGCAGATGATAAGAACGGAGTAGTGCTAAATAGTTGGCGTCGGGTTTAGGGAGAAGATAAGCTAATGAATTTGAAACAAATAGTGCTGTAGAAATCACTACATTTATTAAAATGAGCATGAGATCTTAGAAGACAAAGCATTTAGTATTGGAATGAAGTACGTACAAAATAGAGTAGAATGGATCCACATGATTCGTGTAGCTGATTGAGGTATGATCGATTGATTGATTCATTAAGTGGATACAAGTCACTTGTAAAGTAAGCAATGGAATCATAAGTGATTATTTTTGTTTCTGACAGTTTCAAGAGATTATATTGGTATATCCATTTTCGTGTTTTTCCTGGATGTGAACTTATCTGCTATTGGCATTAGCTTATTGATTGTGTGCATTTAGCTGCTGTATTGCTCATTGTTTCTGTCTTGGCCGTTGATCTCTGATGCTTTTACCATCGCCATAAACTCTTCTGCTGCTGATTCATGTTCTCTTATATCTTGTTGTCATTCATCATTTTTATGCTGTCATCATATGTAGTTAATCCTCTACTATTTTTTTTTTTTAAAACACTACTCTTTGTAGGTGTAGAGAAAAAGAAAATTCATAATTAATGTCTTTGATTGCGCGGTATGAAGTTTCATTATTTTGTCTACAGGTCATTTGGATAAAACGATCTTTGTTGCCTGAATAACTAAGTAACACCTGGTGCTATTTTGAAACGTGTACATAAACATTATGAGAACAACATTATTGTGAAAGAAGGGTATTAACATTTATTGGAAATATTACAGGAGTCTCTGCTCTCCTAAGGTGAAAGTAAATGAGACACCTTCCTCAACAACATTACCCTCATCGTTTAGCAGCTCTAACAAATACCCTGATGAATCCACTCAGTCCAACTACCCTCCTCCTCCTGATCCTATACCGGTTATGCCCTTAAGAGCTGATTCCAGAAGGTCGTTCAATCCATCCCAAAGACAACGCCTCAGCAGCAGCAACCCCACCCATTCTACAGCTTTTAGAAGACCTGGTGAGAATAATGAAAATCAAATCAAGTCCCAGGATAGCCAAGATTTTCTGAAAAGGTTTCAGCTTGGATTTGATTGTAAAGATGAAAATCCAAACACCAATCCTGCATGGAGTGACACTCCTGCTTCCGAGTCACCTCCAGCTCCACCAGAAGATTCAGATGAAATATTCAAGAAAATGAAAGAAACTGGCCTAATACCCAATGCTGTAGCTATGCTTGATGGGCTTTGCAAGGACGGCTTGGTCCAGGAAGCCATGAAGCTATTTGGTCTGATGCGTGAAAAGGGTACCATACCTGAAGTTGTTAACTACACTGCTGTGGTAGAAGGCTTTTTTAAAGCCCACAAATATGATGATGCTGTGAGGATCTTCCGGAAAATGCAAGGCAATGGCATATTCCTAATGCTTTTAGTTACAGTAGCTTAATCCGGGGGCTCTGTCAGAGCAAGAGATAACAGGACGCCCTCGAGTTTTGCTTGGAGATGTTGGAGGCTGGACATTCCCCCAACATGACGACCTTTGTTGGTTTGGTCGATGGGTATTGCAAAGAGAAGAGTCCAGAAGATGCCCAAATCATGATTAAAGCGGTGAGGCACAAGGGTTTTATCCTTGATGAGAAAGCTGTTAGGGAATATTTGGACAAGAAAGGGCCATTCTTGCCGCTGGTTTGGGAGGCAATACTGGGGAAGAAAGCTTCACAGAGGCAATCTCTCTTTTAAGGTGCTTTTTTTTTTTCAAATGGAAATTCTAGAGCCTATTTGGACTGTTGCCGAATATAAAAGCTTTGTACAAATCAAACAGGTCATTGCAGGACCAATCAAGTCTATTGCAGGACCTCCTGGTCACATGGCAACAACTTTACCAGTTACGCCAAGGCCCCTTTACATAAAGGGAAACAGAATTTACATCAACATGTAGCTAACCTCCAGACAACCATGACAAATATATGTTAGTTACATTCCTAAACCACTGGAGTTAACAATGGTTTGTTCTGAAAGTGAGCTTCTAAGTTTCCAATAACAATATCAGCCATTTCCTTGCGCGTTTCCTCTGTGCCACTGGCTACATGAGGCAACAGGACTACATTCTCAAGCCCAAATAGCTGCACAGGTACTTCAGGTTCATTCTCAAACACGTCAAGGCCAGCGCCTCCTAATCGACCCTCCAGAAGAGCAGATACCATCTCTTTTTCATCAACATGAGGACCTCTACCGATATTGATAAGAATCCCCTTTGCACCTAATGCATCAATTACTTCACGGTTGACAATGTAACGAGTCTCAGGAGTTAGTGCACACGCCACGACTAGGATCTCACAGTTGGTAGCCAGCTCAACTACAGTTGGATAATACTTGTAAGTTGTATCTGGTTTTTCTGATCTCGCGTAGTAACTGATTAGACAACCAAAAGCTTCTGCTCTTTTGGCAATTGCTAAGCCAATCCTTCCTAATCCTATTATACCAACTGTTTTGCCACTGAACTGCAAAAGAGAGAGCGATGAATCAGGTAAATGTTAGTGTACATCACTCTGCTCATAGGTGTGAGAAAGCACGGGAGAAAATATATTATTGATGTATATACATATGTTACAATGAGCCCTATATATATATATACGCACATAACATGTCCTACTCCTAATATATATTGGATTAGGGTTATTTATTTACTCCTATTTACATGACTATTCTAACACTCCCCCTCAAGCTGGTGCATATAAATCATATGTACCAAGCTTGTTACATATGTAGTTAATACGAGGACCAGTGAGGGACTTGGTGAAAATATCTGCAAGCTGATCATTCGACTTCACAAACTTTGTAGCAATATCTCCCGAGAGTATCTTTTCTCTAACAAAGTGACAGTCAATCTCAATGTGTTTAGTTCTCTCATGGAACACTGGATTTGACGCAATATGAAGAGCAGCTTGATTATCACACACAAGTCCCATCTGACTAATCTCACCAAATTTCAACTCCTTGAGCAACTGTTTGATCCAAATTAGCTCACATGTCGCCATAGCCATTGCTCGATATTCTGCTTCTGCACTAGACCGAGCAACCACATTCTGTTTCTTGCTCTTCCAGGACACCAAATTTCCTCCTACCAAGACACAATATCCAGACGTAGAACGTCTATCAGAAGGTGATCCTGCCCAATCAGCATCTGAGTATCCAACGATCTGCTCATGGCCTCGACCCTCAAACAATAAACCTTTGCCTGGAGCTGATTTTATATACCGAAGAATGCGAATAACTGCATCCCAATGACTATCACACGGAGAATCCATAAACTGACTCACAACACTCACAGAAAAGGAAATGTCAGGTCTTGTCACTGTAAGGTAATTTAATTTACCAACCAACCGTCTATATCTTGCAGGATCGCTAAGAGGCTCCCCCTGTCCTGGCATAAGTTTAGAATTCGGATCCATCGGAGTGTCAACCGGTCTACAACCTGTCATTCCTGTCTCTTCAAGAATATCTAAGGCATACTTTCGTTGTGAGATCACAACACCTGAGCTAGACTGAGCGACCTCGATACCCAGAAAATACTTTAGTTTGCCCAGATCCTTAGTCTGAAAGTGTTGCAAGAGATGTTGCTTCAATTTAGTAATACCATCCTGATCATTGCCGGTAATAACAATGTCGTCAACATAGACCACCAGATAAATACAGAGACTCGAGGCAGAATGCCGATAGAATACAGAGTGATCAGCTTCACTCTGAATCATGCCAAATTCTCGAATAACTGTGCTGAACTTACCAAACCAGGCTCGAGGAGACTGCTTTAGACCATAAAGTGACCGACGCAAGCGACATACAAGGCCACGAGACTCCCCCTGAGCAACAAACCCAGGTGGTTGCTCCATATAAACTTCATCCTCAAGGTCACCGTGTAAAAAAGCATTCTTAATGTCCAGCTGATAGAGGGGCCAATGGCGAACAGCAGCCATGGATAGAAAAAGGCGGACTGATGCTATCTTAGCCACAGGAGAGAAGGTATCACTGTAATCGAGCCCAAATATCTGAGTATATCCTTTGGCAACAAGACGAGCCTTAAGACGATCAACCTTACCATCCGGACCAACCTTGACTGCATACACCCAACGACAACCAACAGTAGATTTACCTGAAGGAAGAGGGACGAGCTCCCAAGTACCACTCGTATGTAAAGCAGACATCTCGTCAATCATAGCCTGTCGCCATCCTGGATGAGACAATGCTTCACCTGTAGACTTAGGGATGGAAACAGAGGACAAAGAAGATAGAAAAGCATAATAGGGTGATGACAAACGATGATAACTCAAACCGACATAATGGGGATTAGGATTAAGGGTGGCCCGTATACCTTTCCGAAGTGCAATCGGTTGATTAAGAGGAGACAAGTCCGCAGTATTAGCAGGGTCAGGTGCAGGACGTGAATCAGCTGGACCTGATGCTGGGCGCGGACGACGATGATATGTCAAAAGTGGTGTTCCTGTGGCAGGGAGTCTAGGAGGAGCCACACTAGACTCCTCAACGGTTGGAATGGATAAGACTTCTATAGCGGAAGGTGAAGGAGGAGCTATAGGAGACTCGGGTAAGACTTCTGTGGCGGAAGGTGAAGGAGGAGCTATAGTAGACTCCTTAAAGGTCGGTATAGGTAAGACCTCAGATATATCAAGGGGGTCAGAAAGGTCAGAAGAGGTAAAGAAAGGTTTAGACTCAAAAAATGTGACGTCAGAGGACATAAAGTACCTACGAAGATCAAGTGAGTAACAACGATATCCCTTCTGAACACGAGAATAACCAAGGAAGACACACTTGAGAGCACGAGGAGCTAACTTATCTTTCCCAGGGGCTAGGTTATGAACGAAACAAGTGCTCCCAAAAACACGAGGGGGAACAGAGTATACGGGTGATTGGGGAAACAATACTGCATACGGTATCTGATTCTGGATGGGAGAGGAAGGCATCCGATTAACTAAATAACAAGCTGTGAGAACTGCATCGCCCCAAAAACGCAGCGGAACATGAGATTCAATGAGAAGTGTGCGAGCAGTCTCAATGATGTGCCTATTCTTTCTCTCTGCAACCCCATTTTGCTGAGGGGTATAAGGACAAGAGGTCTGATGAATAATTCCTTGAGAAGTCATAAACTGCTGAAATTGAGAGGATAAATATTCTAAGGCATTATCACTGCGAAAAGTGCGAATGGAAACACCAAATTGATTTTTAATTTCAGCACAAAAATTCTGGAATATAGAAAACAACTCAGAACGATCTTTCATTAAGAAAATCCAAGTACATCTTGAATGATCATCAATAAAACTAACAAAATAACGAAATCCCAAGGTTGAACTGACTCTACTAGGACCCCATATATCAGAGTGAACTAAAGAAAAAATAGACTCTGCGTGACTCTCAATACTACGAGGATAGGAGGCTCGGGTATGTTTCCCGAGCTGACATGACTCACACTCTAATGTGGATAAACTAGACAAACCAGGCACCATCTTCTGAAGCTTGGATAAGCTTGGATGTCCTAAACGTCTGTGAATTAGGTCCGGAGGATCTGTAACTAGACATGCCTTGGAGGATTTTAGGGAGTTAAGGTAGTAAAGCCCTTCTGATTCAAGTCCTGTTCCAATCGTCTGCCCTGTACTGCGGTCCTGCATAATAAAAGAATCATCAATAAAATATATACCACAATGGAGGGCACGAGTCAAACGACTAACAGATGCAAGATTAAAAGGACAGCCAGGGACATAGAGAACGGAATCTAGAGTGACAGAGGGTAGGGGATTCGCTTGTCCAACTCCTTTTGCTTTGGTTTGAGACCCATTGGCTAAAGTAACAGTGGGAAGAGACTGTGAATACGCAATATTTGACAAAAGTGATTTATTACCAGAGATATGATCAGAAGCGGCTGAGTCCACAACCCATTGTCCAGGAGGACTAGACTGGGAAACACAAGCAAAAGAATTACCAGCAACAGAAGTATTAGTCTGAGCAACAGAAGCTACTTGTGGAGATGTCTGCTTACTTGCTCGATACTGAAGGAACTCATTATACTCCCCTTCAGATAAAGAAAATCCCTGGTTACCTGTAGTCTCAGTCTGAGCAACATAAGCATTTTTGGTTGGGCGGCCATGTAAAGAATAGCATACATCACGAGTGTGTCCAAGTTTATGACAATAGGAGCACTTGGGTCTAGATCTTCCAAAACGACCTCCTCCTCGTCTATTCTCCATAGTATGAGATGCCCGATTGTCCACTGATTGGGATACGAGGACAGATGAGTCAAGTGTCTGTGATGAGCTCACTGGGTGACTAGGTGCTGCAGCAAGGCGAAGTAATCGAGAGAATAATTCATCAACTGTGGGGACGGTTGGACTAGCCAAAATCTGGTCACGTACTGAATCAAGGTCATTAGGGAGTCCAGCGAGTGTAAGAACTAGAAACATCTTCTGTCGTTGCTCTTGTTGTTTTTCAATACTAGCAGAAACTGGCATCAACGTCTCAAATTCTTCCATGACTGCCTGAACTTGTCCCAAGTAAGTAGACATATCTAATTCCTGTTTCTTCAAGCTTGTCATTCGCGATATTACATCATAGAAACGAGATATGTCATTAGTGTATAGATTACGAGCCTTTTCCCAAACTAAATAACATGTCTGGAATGGACGGAACAAGGGCATCAACTTGGAATCAATAGATCGCCACAAGATACTACATAACTGAGCATCGACCTTCTCCCACTGTGTTTTGGCCTTTTCATCACCTTCGCTAGCCTTTTTTGTTAAATGATCTTGAACTTCCTGACCTTTACACCACAACTCGACAGATGAAGCCCAATCTAAGTACGTTTGAACCTCCCATTAAAGGTCTGAGGTAATCATAACACCGGAACTGCCAGAACTCGGGTTTCTAGACCCGAAAGCATCGACTCCCAAAGACATGGTTGGATTATCACTAAATAACAAAAAAGAATCAACTGAAAATTCTCTGAGACAGATGAAGAAAACACTGTGTTTGCCGGAAAAGTACTGTAGCTGCCGGAAAAATCAGTGTAGTCGCCGGAAAAACTCAAAGTGGTCGGAATTAAAAAATAAAAATATGGACAGGCTCGGAATTGCAGGGCGATCCAACTGTCCTGAAGAAGCGAAGCCGAAAAATGGCCGGAAGAGGCCTCACGCGCCGGCGCGTGGGACAGACGCGCCGCCGGCGGCAGAGTTCCGACAGGCGCGTGACGGCGCGTGGCTGGATATTTTCCGGTGATTTTTTCTGGGGTTTGGTCGGATCTCTCTTGGGAACCTTGTGGTGGTGTTGGATTTTGCACAACACTGTTAATTAGTGACTTTGACGCAATAAGTCACTTAGGTCACCGGAAAATTGCACGGTGACTGAGTTCTTTCTTCCCGGATATCGCTGGAATGATGCACAACGATAAATTTCACACCGTAGCTCTGATACCATGTGAGAAAGCACGGGAGAAAATATATTATTGATGTATATACATATGTTACAATGAGCCCTATATATATATATACGCACATAACATGTCCTACTCCTAATATATATTGGATTAGGGTTATTTATTTACTCCTATTATGCAAATCAGTGTCGTCACAGAATATTTGCTCCTACAAGTTCTATTGCCTGGAGAACAGAGAAAAATTTCATATGTCCCAAAAATTATCTTTTGAAGCGCCACGAATTTACATTAAGACAAAGCTGATATACAATAGTTTTTATAACAACAATAACAACAACAAAAAATCCAGTGTAATTTCACATGTGGGGTCTGGGGAGAGTAACATGAACACAAACCTTACTACTGAAGGTAGAGAGACTGTTTCCAATCGACCCTCGGCTCAAGGAACAATGAAAATAAAATAACAAACAGTAGCAGCAACAATGTAATAATATGGCACAACATGTAATAATAAGGAACCGGGAATAAGAAAATACAAAAATATAGTACTAGTACTAATGGTAAGATTAAGAGACACTAACGAGTACCTATTAGCCTTCTAATCTAATTCTCGACCTCCATCCTTTCCTATCGAGGGTCATGTCCTCGGTAAGTTTTTACAACATCTAGAAACTGAAACTCCAACATGACAACTTATAACTAAAAACAAAGCACACATCGCACATAACAGGTTGATACAATGTCTTTGACATTTCATTCAGAAGAGAAACTGAAAAAGCTGAGAAATTGCTGCTTAATTGTCACTATGCTAAAGATGCCAACAGTTGAGTTATATTACAACTTAATGATATGGCCAAGGATACAAAAGGGAAACTAGGGGTGTCAAATGGGCGGGTTGGACTGATTTTTTGCGGGTTAAAATAGGCTGAGTAAATTAATGGGCGGGTTATTGACCTGCCCAAAAGTTACTTGGGCTGAGATTGGCTAAAATTTGGGTCATAACCCAATCCGCCCAACTCTTATCAAGCTTTAATAAATATGTGTTATTTTGTTATGAATTGTTTAATTATCAAATAAGACTTTTTATCTTCTTTTATTATGGTCATATATAACATTTCAAAAAAAGAAAAAATATTTTAAAGATATTTTAGCAGGGTTACTCATGCATGAATTTGGGCTAAAAATAAGCCCAACTTTAGAAGGACTGAGATGAATTTGGCGAGTTCACCAAATGGACGAGTCGTTGACCGTCCCAATCTTGGACGGGTTAGACAGGTCAAATGTGTTTGGGCTCAAATTGCCACCCATAAGAGAAACTATGCTATATTGTGTTCTAAAACAAACATGAATACTTCAAGATTCAAGAGGAATACAAACCTTAGAAGTCAACTTGAAGTCACCAGCCCTCCACATTCCCTTCTTAGCGTAGCGATCAGACTCGCAAATTCTCCTGAGAACAGCCAACATTAATCCTATAGCAAGGTCAGCAACATCATCTGTCAACACATCAGGTGTATTTGTCACTCTAATACCCTTCTCTTTACATTTATTCAAATCAATCTTATCCAATCCAACACTGAAACTGGACACTATTTCTAGCTTAGGCAACGCTTCGATAAGTTCAGCATCAGCACCAGCAGCAGCGTTACCCACGACAGCACCTATTAAATGCGCGTACTTGTTGATGAATTCTTTCTTGTCGGAGAAGTTCCAGTAACGTAAGAGGTTGAATCGCTTGTCAAGTTCTTGTTCTAAGTATGATGACATTGAACATGCCATTAGTACTCCTATAGTTTCCATTTTCTTGTTCTTGTTTTTCTTCCCTAAGGGGTTGGTGTCAGAAAGATACAGAAGATTATAGTATTCCTTATAACTTATCTTTTGATAGTAGAATTTGGTGGCTCTCAGCCTCTCACTATTTCTTATGAGCGATTGGCTGTATCACGTGTACAATCATGTGAATTATAAATTGCCTTTGTGTTTTCTTCACATTCTCCCGTCTAAAAGGCAGCCTGGTGCACTAAGCTTTCGCTAATCGCTATGCGCAGAATTCGAGGAAGAGCTAGATCACAAAGATCTATTGTATGCAACTTTACCCTGTATTTCTGCAAGAGGTTGTTTCCACGGCTCGAACCCATGAACTTCTGATCACATGGCAGCAACTTTATCAGTTACGCCAAGGCTCACGTTCTCCTGTCCAACTCTATATTCACCACAAATAATTGGTTAATTTGAAGGATGGGCGCTTAACTTTTATTTTTATTGCAGTAAACTCATTAAATTTCGTTTTTGTAGCAAAAAAAAAAAAAATCACTCAATTCTGCCTAATATTATAGAAAGTTACCATTTTTTATTTATTATTTATTTATTTATTTATTTATTTATTTATTTTTTTGTAAATAAGGCTCAACTTTGTCTAAGTATCACGTGAAGTCATTAATTATAATCATGCACAAGAAGGTGTTACATTTACTAGTAACTTTCTGTGATACTTAAATAAAATCGAATAACTTTTTTATTATAAAAATTAGTTTAATACCTTTCTGAAAACTTCAGTGAAGTTGAGTGAATTTTTTCATTAAAAAAGTAGTTTTTAACTTTAGTTTATTAAAGTGGAAGTTAAATAACTAAAAAAAAAAAGATGGTAGAAGACCCATAGTCCCCTGTTCTAATGAGTCCGGAACCTAAATATTATTTTTTTGGACTCAAAGTACAATAATAAGTGTAAAAAAAAAAAAATACCTTTCTATATATAGCGTCTTGTATTTGGACGCTATATAGCCTGACGATTTGACTGACATATATAACGTTCTCAATTTATACGCTAGACATATAGCGTCCAAAAAAAAAAACGCTATACCCTTAATTAAATATTGCCCTTCGTCTTCTTCCCCAACCAGAAACCCTTTCCCCCATTTTTTTTAACCTCTACTACTTCTGCGCCCCCCCCTGCTCGTTTTTAAAAAAAAAATTGTGGGCCCCTCCCGTCACACAAAAGGTTAAGAACGTAGGTTCCACATCGTAGTAGAGCATCGTATTATTGCGGTTTAACTCCTTCGTCTTCAAATTTTCACACAAAATACTACATCGAGGTATTTCGATTTATTTTATGTCGAAACTTGTATAAAAATGCATATTAGTTGATTGAATGTGTTTCCATGTCGTTTTGTGTTTTATTTGCGAAACTAGTATGTTATATTTATCCGGACTTAGATATTAGTGTTAAAAAAAATGTAAAATTGAGATTTAACTTTTTATGTTAATATCCGAATTTAGATATTAGTGTTTCCCTGTCGTTTTGTGTTTTATTTGCGAAACTAGTACGTTATATGTATTTTTGTGAATGTTATGTGATTAAAATGTATTGGTTGTTTATATTCAGTTTATTTATTAGCGTTGTAAAATGTAGAACCTTTTAGCATAGTAAAATGTAGAACCTTTTAGCGTAGTAAACTGTATAGTATTTTAGCGTAGAATCCCTGTAGTTTAAATGTTTGTTATACTGGTAGATGAAAATATATACTTTGTACAATTAAAAAATAAAAATATTGAATTTGACACACATAAATATTCATGATAGTTTGGTGCTACTGGGCCTCAAATATCGAGCCTGGAACCTAATAGGTATATATATTTTGTACAATTAAATAATTAAAAATTAAGAATTTAAATTATAAAACAAACACACACAAAATTATCAAAAAATTAAATTTGACACACATAAATATTCATCATAGTTTGGTGCTACTGGGCCTCAAATATCGAGCCTGGAATCCAATAGGTATATATATTTTGTACAATTAAATAATTAAAAATTAAGAATTTAAATTTTAAAACAAACACACACAAAATTATCAAAATATTGAATTTGACACACATAAATATTCATGATAGTTTGGTGCTACTGGGCCTCAAATGTCGAGCCTGGAACCCAATAAGTATATATTTGTACAATTAAATAATTAAAATTAAGAATTTAAATTATAAAACAAACACACACAAAATTATCAAAAAATTGACATAATTATTCATGATAGTTTGGTGCTACCGGGCCTCAAATATCGAGCCTGGAACCCAATAAGTATATATATTTTGTACAATTAAATAATTAAAAATTAAGAATTTAAATTATAAAACAAACACACACAAAATTATCAAAATTTTTAATTTGACACACATAAATATTCATGATGGTTTGGTGCTACTGGGCCTCAAATATCGAGCCTGGAACCCAATAGGTATATATATTTTGTACAACTAAATAATTAAAAATTAAGAATTTAAATTATAAAACAAACACACACAAAATTATCAAAATATTAAATTTGACACACATAAATATTCATGATAGTTTGGTGCTACTGGGCCTCAAATGTCGAGCCTGGAACCCAATAGGTATATATACCTTGTACAATTAAATAATAAACATACAATTAATGTTGTTTAATTTACAGTTGACGACATGGACACGCCGCCTATACATCCCGGCTCTTACTCTCGTGAGCTATTAGTGCTTCAGGGCGATCATAGGTCCGCCCATATATGGGAGAGAGAGTTACTGTCCCAGACTCTCCGCGCTAGGAGAGTGGATGACCTGTGGGATTCTCTAAGGCCCAGAGATCTCCACGAGCGTGTAGTCCATCGCCTACAGGATAGGGATTATATAGGATTATTGAGATCGGACGGATACAGGTTGACTGGGCTTTGATCATGGCGTTGATTGAGCGGTGGCGACCGGAGACGCACACTTTTCACCTGCCATTGGCGAGGCTACCATCACGCTGCAGGACGTGGAGGTTTTATATGGCCTGCCCGTTGATGGCATGGCCGTTTCACTGCCTATTGTTATGAGATCTATATCGCGTGATGCTTATTTGGACATGCTGCAGCAGCTCATGGGTTTCATGCCACAGGACGAGACTGCATCGTCGGGTGCCAGTCGGTTGACTTTGACCCCTATTAGACAGTACCTGGATGTACTCCACCCCGATATCACTGACGATACAGAGGAGATACATACCACCCGGTATACGCGGTTGTTATTGCTTCTTCTATTTGGAGGGGTCTTGTTCCCGAACACTTCGGGGAACCTAGTCAGCCTGAGATTTCTTCATCATCTTCAGCTGCTAGATGAGTTACCCTATTACAGCTGGGGTGCTGCTGTTCTCGGCTACATGTATAGGCAGATGTGCCGGGCGAGCATGGGCACTCAGAGAGATGTTTGTGGTTTTATGCCGCTTCTACATGTGACAACATATTCAAATAATCTGTTCATCAGTTCCAACTCTACCTAGTTAGAATTTATCTTAGACTTTACGTCAACTTTGTATGTTAGGTTTGGGCCTGGGAGCGGTTCTTGCAGTTTCAGCCACCTCGACCATAATTACCTCCTAATGTAGCACCTCCGTTTCTCCCTCTAGCCAGGAGGTGGGTTCTCCGCCGTACACTTTCACGAGAGTATGATGCTCATCATAATCTCCCCCTCTGCAGGGATGTGTTGGATATGCTGGAGGGCGCACAGGTAAATATGTACCTAAACTTACCTGGTATAGATTAACTTAGTGTTGCACATACTCACGTTTCATGTTCTTATTTTAGTTCATCTGGACGCCATATAGCGACGATTTGATAGCTTCCTTGCCACCTTATTGCTCGGCCAGCCGACTGATTTGGTAATCAGGGTATAGCATTTTTTTGGACGCTATATGTATAGCGTATAAATTTAAAATTCTATATATGTCAGTCAAATCGTCAGGCTATACAACGTCCAAATACAAGACGCTATACCTTAACGGCAAAAGTTACCGTTAAGGTATAACGTCTTGTATTTGGACGCTATATATAGAAAGGTAACTTTTTTTTTTACACTTGTTAATGTACTTTGAGTCCAAAAAAAATAACACACTTCTTATGGATATGGGCAGATTTATTTGCCAATAATTACAATGTTGTTTCTGTATACAGTCTAAATCAATTAGCGTGATTTTTGAAGTCTTAAATCGAGCTTTAGGTCCGAGTCCGGGGGACTCGAGGTGGAGGTCGGATCCGGCTAAGAGACACCCACCTCGAGGAAGCTGATCGAAGCCATAGCACGACCTACATCGAGGACATCATAATCTCGAAGTAAATCAAGAAAGAGCGGGAGTTTCTCAAGGACACGTGGATCAAGGCATTAATTTAAGGATAAGATTTGTACGAAAGGGTACAGGTTCGTACTAGGCCGTTATACACCTGTACCAATAGAATTCTTTACCTTTATGAGGAATGTACTATATTGGGTTTTTCTCCTCCTATATAAAGGGAAACCCAATCATTTTGTAGGAGATCAGATCATTCATTGCGATAGGACATTCTATTCTTCTCTTGTTTAACGTGCTCTACAATTATTCTTCAGCTTTATTGCCTTTCCTTTATTGTTAATACTTTATTGGTCTTAGCTGACCTCGAGGTCCCTGGATAGCCGAGCTCGAGGCCCCTACTGTTCCAACCACATTGATTTGGTTCATTACTTCTTCTTACTTAAGCTCAATATTACTTGCATAATCACTAGTATTAGAATATATCACGTATCTTTAAAACCACAAAATATCTTTAATTGTTACTCACATTTTTCGAGGTAAACAGTTTCCTTCTTGTCATCTAACTTATGGTAAAAGATAAATTTTCCTTGTAGTGGGGCTGATGTAATAGCAATACATATTAAGACCATCTCCAATCTTATACTAAATATATCACCGAATCTTATTCTAGTGTAATATTTGATGTTTTGGTGCTCCAACTCAACACCAATTCTTACACCATTTTAGTGTGTGAATAATATTACACCAAATTTGTTGTAGCATTATTCATCAACAATATTATGATTCATCACTATTTTATTATTAGTTTTTATTATATAA